ATATATATATAAAAGATTGTATCATAACTATTTGAATAAATATTTTGAGTTAATCACTTTGATAGAGAATGTTTTAGGTATATTTATATAATAAAGAATTAGTTATACGTTTTGTGTTCGTAAACATGATATACGAAATAATTCGTGGAAGAAAAAATGACATAATTTAATAATAATAATAATTAATGATAATATGAATAATAATGTTTAATTAAAAAAATCAGTTTTAGTTATTTCAATGATTTAGGAATTATATTTTTAAATTATATATACAATTGAAGTATCTTGATAAAATATGGATGAGTTTTACAAAGTATAAATTAAAAATTTATTTTAAACATATGCATATGATATAATCATTAGAGAAAATGATAATAAAACTAAATTTAATAATAAGTATTTTAATAACAATAATTAATTTAAAAAATCGACTGACAGTGAAGTATGATAATAGTGTTAGAATTTTATTTGTATTACGTAATTGATAAATATAGTAATAATTAATTGATAATTATATATTAATAATTAGCAGACTCATTTTTTTTATTAACATGTCAGTTTATAAAAAGTCAATTCAATAAAAATTATTGACTACTATGTAGTCATTAACAAATTTTCTCTTTCTCCAAGAGTTTTTTTTTTGTGTGCCTCATTCTCTTTTCCCAAGAACGTTCTTCTTTCTTATGTAATTATAGATTTTTTAAAATATTTCATTTAAGATTTATTTTCATGTGACTAAAGTTGAGTAAAAACTAATAATATGTAGGCTTATTTTATTTATATATAATTATTTAAACTTTTTCATTAGAAATTATTCAATATTCTCAACCTTTTATACATTTTATATATAGAATTGGTGCTTTATTTATTAAATAGTTTTGAGACTAATTTGAGAGTTCTTTATCTAGTTATCGTATTTAAATTAAAGGGGAAAAATAAATATTTAATAAATATTTATCAATTGTATGAGGTACCCCCCTCGTTTATCTATTTTTTTTTTGTTGCTGTTGTTTAATATCCAAGTCAATTCATGTGAAGAAATGAAAGTTTTAAATCCTACAGAAAGCACATCATATGCTACCTATACATGAATTTGGAATTCCTTAGCAGAGAATAATACGACGTTTTGTATTGATAACGGGTACTGTTGCATGAATACTTTATGATCATTTTTAATTAGATTTTAATATCAGAAATTAATAAAATAATTATTTTAATTTTAATTTTAATTTTAATTCAAAATAATTTTACAAATTAGTTAACCTTTTGAAATACAACATTGTATACATTGTTGGGTCATGTTTGGAAATTGGAATCATGCTGGAATTGGAAAATCACGATCTTCAGATTGAAATTGTATACGATATTTCTCCCATAAGAAAGCTTGTGTATAGTACTCTAGAAATTAGGTACAGAGAGCATATGTAAAGGCCAAGTAGTTTGGGAGAGATGCAATCTCAGAAGGTAACATTTTGATTGAATTAAAGATTATGAAATTAATTACACATTCTCTTATTTTCCTAACTATATTAACTAACTTTCTAACTAACTAATTAATCATATTACTTTATTATGCTAACCAATTGTAACTAACTAACCAATCATATATTCTGACATAGCTTTTAGATACTTGAAGTTATCATAACAAAATCTAAAAGACTTGCAGAAGGCACCCAATTGTCATTTTTAAAGATTCTGACAGAGCTTATATGACAGTGTTACAGTCAGCTTAAATACATATAATTATCAGAAATAGAATTCATCAGTCACTGAAAGTAAAAATTACTACTATCAGTCATGGCTACAGAGAGTAAAAGGTGATAGATTGAAAGTTCGAAACCAACAAAAAATGAAGAAACGTGGTTACCGATGTTGGACATGAGACTGTTGAAATAGATGGCGATGATGTCCCAGGAACCGACAGGAGTTCTGCCCACATGGACATGACTCACCCTTCAACCATTCTGTCAAATTCATCTCTCGAAAGATCATCTAGCAAAAACTTCATAGCTGACCTTATTCCAATCGTGTTGGAGACCGTACAGACGAATCGGTTTTCCTCTGCACAATATTTCAAACATAATCATACACTCTGCAAACATGGTCAACTTAATAATTGGTGGGACATAAATAAGGTTCCATATTGATAAACCCACATAAAATTCCGAATAGTATTTCAAGGGGATCAATCCTTGTGTCTCTTTTGTCGATGTGAATTGGAAACAACTGAACACCTTTTCTTTACTTGCAATTTCTCTTATGACATTGGGAAAAACACAGTTTTGTCATGTTGGGCAAAGCAGCATTTTTGGTCAAATCTTGGAATGACATTAGGAAAGGAACACAAGAACATTTGGAAACTTGTATGGCTTTGCATATTATGGTCTACATGGATACATAGGACAAGATTTCTTTTGATGCTACTCAGGCGAATCAAACAGATTTGGTAGAATTTATCAAAGTTAGAAGTTGGTTGTGGATCAAAGCTAAACTTTAAAAGGCATCTTTGAGTGGTGGTCAAATCCTGTAATGTCTCTATTATCTTATTGTGAAACTAGAAGTGCATCTTGATGTAAAGGGCAGGGGTACTCCTTGTACTCCCATCTCTTTATAAATTTTGCTTTATCTAAATAAAAACTCATCGTTCTGATAATGAACACCTAAAGAGTTTCAGACAGAGGAGTAACTAATTTTCTTAGATCATATATCCCATCTGAGATATGAATAATATAATCTACCATGTTACAAATTGAACCAGTTCCCGACCAATCAAAATTCCAAACAGTTGTGTGTGCCATCACCAATACGGACTTGAAAGGCGCCGATGAATGATGAGAGCATTCTTTTGCTTTAACAATACTCCTCCACACATAAGAATCATTCCTCCCAGCCACTATATTTAACACAGCCATTAGCAAGGCACTTTTATGATAAAGCTTTCACCCATATTCTACCCTTATCAAGTTATCAGTAATCATTTTTCTAAGAAGCTTGCCTATTTTCATTTTATAATATAGAAACTAAGAATCGATCAAGTTCATATTTATCAAATGAAGAATTTGTAAAATAATATGAATTTGTTAAGTTACATAGAAAATTTTTCATATTTATAGATTTGAAATGGAAGGAGGAGAAATTACAAATATTAAGAGATTCATAATTTTGTAATATTTATAGGTCTTCTTGTTTCTTAATATCTGGTCTTTTGTAGCTGAGGATCCAATATTTTGTATTTGTTTCTTGAGCCATCCATGGTAACCGTGCTTGGCACTTGGAATGTATTGTCCTCGCGAAAAAAAAGCTGGTGGTCTGGGACTGGGAGTGTGCGAGATAGTGAGATTGTAAACACAACTTTGTCAGACCAGATTGTTTGGAAGATGACTGAAGGTTTTATCACAAAAGTACCTCAATAACGACTCCATGTTTTGTGGAAGATCTTTTTCACTATTGACAAAGAAATATAAGAACAATGTTTATGACAGCAAGCTGACTAATTAAATTACAAGTAAGTTATTGCTCTTTATAAAGCCAAAACATTAACCGATGAAAATTAGAAAATAAATTTCATAAGAACCTAACATTATTGTACTTAAACAAAAAATAGAACAGAATATAACTCCATAAATTCTCTAAATGACCTGGCCAATTATTCACTATCATTCTAATTCTAATTGAAACATTAAGGCATTTTTTAACAAGATTAGATCCAACACTACTTAGAACTCCGCAATGTAAAATACCATCGTCTGTGGGAAGAGATTCGGATAAAGTTTTTATGGAAGGAAAAAATAATACTAATTAAAATTAACTTGAACATACGTTCAGACATGTGCATGTTCCTATACATTATAGATAACATTCTTAGCAATGTTCAACCATGTGGGATTGTTGAAATAGATGGCGATAGCAGCCCAGGAAGACAGGAGTTCTGGCACCTGGACATGGCTCACGCTTCAACCATAACGTCAAATGCATCTTCCCGAGGATCATCTTGCCAAAAGTTTACATGGATCATATTCCAATCGTGTTGCAGACCGTCCAGAAAGATCGGATTCTCTCTACATACAATATTTAAACATAAATCATACACACGCTGCAAAATATTGGACATAATTTTTCATAATCAAGTTAATGAGAAAAGAAAAGGCTCATGAATTTACCACATAATGTGGAAGTCTTTATTGCCGGGTGGGAGATCAGTTCTAGTTGTGGAATGTGAGCTATGTATTGCCAATCTTTCCCTGTTTCCCTCTTGCACCGCTTCTCGGGCTGAGGGCAGTTGTCGATACTTAAGTGACTCAAGTTGGTGAGGCGTTGAATGCTACTTGGAAGTGACCTCAACTCCTGGCAATCTAAGACCATTAATTCCTGAAGAGAATTCATGTCTCCAAGCCAATCTGGCAATGAACTACATCCTGCTATAACCAATCTTTCTAGGGAGGGGATACATTGTAAGCCTTCTGGTAATGTACCGCAAATGAACACCTCCCGAAGGGCAGTTAGTTTGTTCATATTTCTTGGCAGAGCCAACAGTTCAGGACAGTAGCTGACATAGAAAACCTCGAGACAAGCTAAATGTCCCACACCTTCAGATAACGTTTTTAATTTCTCACACATGAAAATATTCAAAGTTCGAAGACAAGTTAGACCTTGCAGCACATGTTCTGGAAAAAACTCCAGTTTATCACAACCTGTAATGTGTAGTTCCTGTAATGCACTTAGCCTGCGGAATTGGTCCGGTAGTACCTTCAGTTCGTCACAGAAATTAATCCCCAGGGTCTTAAGACAGGGCATATTCCCCACAACCTCTTCCGTGAAAGAAGTCGCATCTTCAATGCTCCAAATTTCAAGGTGCTCAGCAGATGGAATACGTGGAATTTTAAGTTTGGGGACACCCTCGATACTTAATTTAGAAACACGAGGCAGCATCTCTGCTCCTTCATCTCTTAACATGCTCTCCAAATTTGGTAAATCCCGCATAGTGAATTTCACTAGCGATGGAAATGCCTTCTCCACGCCATCATATAGTTCATTGTCTATGTGCTTCACATCTTTCATTCCAGATACGAATAGGCTTTTTAAGTGTGGTAGTTTACCAAGTGGAGGAAGCTCCTCACAGTTATTGCAATTGTCGAGTATAACGTCCAACAAGTCTTTCAGAACTGAAGGATTTCTCAGCCAATTGGAAAATTGTATTCCCTGGTATCCCTTCATCCCAAAACTTCTAAGAGTTGAGGGAGGTTCAAGGGCTTCTAGTACTCGCTCAGCATTAACATTACTATCTTTTGAACGACCCCATGACAAGTATAATCGATTCAGCTCCCTCTTACCAATCAAATTTGCTTCTTTAGCATCCGATTCGCTTGGGACATTTTCAAGGCCTCTGATATGCAGCTTGCCTCCCAGCTTTAAATCATGTAACTCTGCCAGCCCATATCCTGACTTTGAACCCACAATGAAACTGCTCAATGTTCTTAGATGTCTTAACTTTCCAATATTGGGAGGCATCACTGTTATTGAGAAACATTTATTGATCACAAGATGTCTTAGATCTTGTAATTGTGTCAGGTCTTTGGGCAACCCATAAAGGTAGTGACAATCTTCTAGTTTCAATACTTGCAATTTTTGCAACCTGCAAATAGAATTAGGCAAGCATGTCACCCAACTCCCACGTAGATTCAAGTACCTCAAATGTGTTAAATTCATGACTGGCGACAATTGACTAAAGCTTATCCTTAACGCTCGGAGACAATTGTTTGATGGCAAGAGACGAAAATTTTCAATGAACTTATATGAATCAACATCAAGAAAAGTACGCATGGATTCGACTTTCTTTAAGGCAACCTTATTGTCTAACTCATTAGATGTTAACAAGTGTAAATGATGAACTCTGCTTGACAAATGAGTCAACCTTGTATGCCCATAAACCACACATTCTTCACCCATAATTGACTGGGCAAGATCATGATATAAATCATGCATTTTGAAACTTGTAATTATACCAAACTTATCAGATTTTGATTCCTGAAAAAAAGATCTATTGTATAATTTTTTCCACATGTTATTACCAACGTCCTCCACTTCTAATTTTCCTTCAGATTTAATAAATCCATTAGCCATCCAAAGATGAATTAGTTCTTCCTTGACAATTTGAAAACCTTTAGGAAAAATGGCACAAAAGGAAAAGCATCTCCTTGATGACAAGTCCAAATTAACATAGCTTAGTTTCAAAGCACGCAAGATAGAATTTTCCTCACTTGAGAGAGAACTTTCCTCCTGTATATCCCAAATCTCACTTTCCTGTACGTTCTGCCATTGTTGTACCTCACTTTGATCACACAAAAGGCTTCCCAGTGTTTTGATTGCAAGTGGAGAACCAACACATTTCCTCACTATATATTTGCCAATTGCAACAAGTTCTTCACTTTCATGTGTGTTATGTCCAAATGCATGATGTCTGAACAATGACCAACTGTCATCATCAGATAATTCTATCAAACGATGTGCAGGGCGTCGTTCCATGATCCTCGCAACTTGCTCAAGTCGAGTAGTGACTAAAACGACAGCACCTTTTGTTCCCCTAGCACGCTGCAACACCCCCTTAAACTCCTTCCATTTCTCTTGGTCTTCGTTCCACACATCATCAAGAACAAGTAAATACCTCTTGCTCTGCAACACTTCTTGAACCTTTTTCCGCATTGCTTCTAAAGTATTGAGGTTGGGATTTTGTCCAGTGGTGGATTCTATGATGGCTTGCAGTATTATCTTTATATTGAAATCATTAGAAACACAAACCCAAATGGTCAAGTCAAAATGTTTGCTTACCCGGTCATCATTGAAGACCTGTTTGGCAAGTGTGGTTTTCCCAACTCCACCCATACCAACTATGGGATAGATAGAGAGATCTTGGCTGTTGCTAGCATGCCCCACAAGAAACTCCACAATTTGCTCTCTGTCTTGGTCTCTACCATAAATTATGGGTTCAGTAATGATAGAGCTAGTTTTGCGCCATTCATTATCATCCTTTCCTTGCTTGTCAGTGACACCAGCACGTAATTCAAACATGAGCCTTTCTTCATGAATGACATGAAATCTTTGGGCGATCTTTTTCATCCTTTTGCTAATATGACGACGAAAGAGAATGTCCTTAGGATGGAGACTGGATAAGCATGAATTTTTTGAGTGTATTGAACATTCATCCAAGATATCGTCCAACGCATATGCTGCATCTGTCAGTTTCTGAAGCCAATCCTTCACGACTTGGCTCGTGATTTGCTTTTTCTCAGCATCTTCAAGGACTGCACAGATTGCAGTGAGATAGCTGCAAAGCTTCTGAATCTGTTGGTCAACTCCCCAATATGTTGCAAGTTCATCTTGTACAAAAGATCCCAAGTTTTTAATCACAATTCCTAGCAAAGCCTCGGTCATCTTCAGAATGAAAGAAACCTTGGAGTTAGTCTGTTTCTGGACTCTGGTACAAGGAATTATGGATAAGAGATAAAAAAATGTTATGTATTTATCACACTTAAAAGTTCTGTCAATCAATGAAATATGTTAATGTTTTATTGATTCATATTTTTCTTTTGTTATAAAGATGTGAAATTTCATTTATCTATTAAAAAAATGAGTGGATGGAAACTTTATAAGAAAGATATTTTGTAGTGATTTAAAAATTTATTAGTTTGCATTGACTAACTATTGTTGGGTTGTTGGGGTTGGAAAATAACTACGCGTCATTTATTTGAATTGACTATTGATTAATACATACATGCCATGGCAAGAAATATAGTAAATTTCATCTTTTCTTCCTTGGCCAAGGGGTCCTTTTTGTTTTTGTTAACGAGGAGGGGGTGTTGATCACACGAATCTAGTCAATCTAAGAATCGAGCAGCAGGATTAACTCCCTGAAATTTGAAACCATATATTTGTCCATCTCCTCTATGAAATTCCCGTTTTACCACAATAACTCTATCTTTAGTCAGATTAAAGAAAAGGAAAGGAAAGAAGTTTCTTTTGTAATCTTAGGAGGGTGTAGTAAGCTCGGGTCATGTTTTTGTTAAAATATTGGAAAACTTAAAGGCAAGGCAAACCAAAATTAACTCATATCCGAAGTAATTGATTAAATACCATGCTTCCCAGGTCTCCAAATTCAACATCACAAATAGAAGATGAGATGTTGCACTTTGCATGTCATTCTTAAACTTCATATGCACATTAACTACTCATGAATACCTATTAGGTACATACCAAAATCATTTTTCAGAAAGAAAATTGGATATTTAAGTTGGGTACTATTTGGGTATGATCATAATTTATCCCATATATAAAGAAAAACGTTGTCTTTAAAAATTAGGTTTTTCCTTTCATCTTATTTGCTATTATATGTCATTGTTCGCATAAGATGAAAACGAGTGACCAATGACATATAAGAATTCCTTTTTTTATATATGTATTTTTTTTTTAAATTATATTGATGTACCCGTATTCTTTATTTTTGAAATATCTTGTATCTCATACCCATATCGTTAACTGATACCGCATCTGTATTCATACAACTTATCATTTTGGGAGAGGCATTGATTGGCAAAGATTGAATGGGAAAAGCATCTAGAAAACAGCTTGCTTGATATCATCAGCAGTGTAGTTTTAGTCGAAGGACATTAAGATCAATGGCTTTTTCACTGTCCTAGATTGTCCTCATGTTAAGGAGGTTTGGCTGCGGCTTGGATTCTGTCAACACTATGTTGAAATGGTATGTTCTTTTGGCTAAAAAATTTATCTTTAAGTAATTATGGCATGTTGTTCTGTCTGAAACAATGATTTTTTTATTTTTTATTTTTTATGATAGCTTGATAGGAAGTGGAGCGTTCACCACGTTCTACAAAATATACACAAATCTCATGACCAGGTTTTTACTTTTATTAGTTAATATTTAATAATAGTTTTGGTTCGTTAAAGTAAATAAAGGAAAGAAAGTAAAACAATTTGTTTGGATTGCTGAGATGGAGAAATACAAGGTTTAAAAACTGTTGTGTAGAGAATCAATAATATAGTGGAGAACAGTAAGATATGGTTTAAAAGTTAAACTTGATTCTTGGCTTGAGTTGACCGCTGAGAGCAACAGTGGTGGTTAAGTATGAAATCTTGATATTCCAAAAATGGAAAAGTATCAATGTTGTACCGTGTCAGATATATACACTCTTTGAATATTTCTAGATACATATGCGAAAAGTATCCGATCTTTTTTTACTAAATTTTTAATCTTTTTTTCTCAGATACTTCCTATATATTTATTGGATACTTCTAGGTACCTATTTGAAAAGTATCTGCACAATTTTTTTTTTTTCATATTGTGTAAGGAATTGGAGTATATACTTCTTTATTCATTCTTTGAAGAAAAATAAAATGAATTTAAAAGGGTAAAAGATTTTGTTTATTTGCATTTCAAACTTTAACTTTTGACTATGAAAGATGAAGAGCATTAAAAAAGGAGAGAGTGAATTGTGGGACATTAATAAATATATATCATTCATTTAATGATAGTGTTAGACTTCATTAATAAACCAAATTTTGAAACTTTTTTTTTATATGATGATAATAAGGGGAGGGTGATTCAATAAGTACTACTATACTAGATAATAATATAATAATGATATTTTTAAGTCATAGACGATTGTATATAATCAATACTAATTTTAAATTCTACTAAAGATGTTTTTATTAATATAGTTAACTTGATATGAGTATAAATTGTATTTTTTTGTTGTTATCACTAACATATATTTTTGTAAATTGTAATCATGAAAAAGTTATGAATTAATAAGAAAGAATTAATGTCTCTTTCTTTACCAATATTGTACATGTATATAAATATTTCTATATAATTTTATTAACATATCATATTCTAAATTTTGAAAAAAATTGTCGTATTTTTATATTCGTGGGTATCATACCCATATGGTATTTGAGTATCTGGACTTCATAGGTGATTAATGAAGAAGACAAGAAATACGTGTATCTTTGGAACCACGTCAAATAAGACAGATATGAAGGTACTCTCTGTAGGTTTGCCATTTACGTGACTATTAGTCATGAGTCTATTTTGATGGGATGGGATACCAAACTGGTAGTACATCATATTTCATGCCATGCCTCGCAATTATCAATTGCCAATTCAAATAAATGATGTCAACTACTTTCCAACAACAATCACTACAAAATATCATTCCACTGAAATTCTTATCCACTCATTTTCATCTCTCTTGTCCAGAACCAAAATCACCTCCAAGCTTTTCTCCATTCTAGCTCTCATTTCTGCACATGGCTGAGGCTTTACTAGGAATTGTCATTGAAAACTTGCGATCTTTTGTCGAACAAGATCTTGCAACGTATTGGGGCGTTGACCAACAGATGCAGAAGCTTTCCAGTCACATGACTGCAATCCGTGGTGTCCTCAAAGATGCGGAGAAAAGGCAAATAACAAGTGAAGCCATGAGGGATTGGGTGCAGAAACTCACAGATGCAGCATATGTGTTGGAGGATATCTTGGATGAATGTTCAATACAATCCAAAAAGGTGCTGTGCGGTGTACAAAATTCATGCTTAACCCGTTTCCATCCTAAGGACATTCTCTTTCGTTCTGATATAGGCAAGAGGATGAAAGACATTGACCAAAGATTTCATGACATTCATGAAGAAAGGAGCATGTTTCAACTAGCCGCTAGTGTCACAGAGAAGCAAGGGGAGGATGATGATAAATGGCGCCAAACTAGCTCTGTCATTATTGAACCAGAAGTATACGGTAGAGACCAAGATAGAGAGCAAATCGTGAAGTTTCTTCTGGAACATGCTAGTGACAGTGAACAACTCTCTGTCTATCCCATAGTTGGTATGGCTGGACTTGGCAAAACAACACTTGTTAAACAGGTCTTCAATGATGATGAGGTAAGCAAACAATTTGACTTGACCGTTTGGGTTTATGTTTCTAATGATTTCAATGTGGAGAGAATATTGCAATCCATCATAGAATCTACCACCAAACAAAACCCCGACCGCAAAACTTTAGAAGCAAAGCATAAAGAGGTTCAAGAAGTGTTGCAGAGTAAGAGGTATTTACTTGTTCTTGATGATGTGTGGAATGAAGACAAAGAGAAATGGAAGGAGTTGAAGGGGACCTTTCAGTGTGCAAGGGGAATAAAGGGTGCTACCGTTCTGGTCACTACGCGACTTGAGAAAGTTGCGTCCATCATGGAAACACACCCTGCTCATCATTTGAAAGGATTATCTGAAGATGACAGTTGGTCATTGTTCAAACATCATGCATTTGGACCAAACAGAGAAGAGAGTGCAGAGCTTTTAGCAATCGGCAAAGAGATAGTGGAGAAATGTGTTGGTTCACCTCTTGCAATCAAAACACTAGGAAGCCTTTTGCACGATAAAACTGAGGTAAGACAGTGGCAGAATGTAAAGGAAAGTGAGTTTTGGAAAATACGGGAGGAAAGTTCTATTACAAGTGAGGAAAATTCTATCATGCGTGCTTTGAAACTGAGTTATTTTAACTTGGAGTTATCATTGAGGAGATGCTTTTCTTTTTGTGCAATTTTTCCTAAAGGTTTTGAAATTGTTAAAGAGGAACTAATTCATCTTTGGATGGCTAATGGATTTATTAAATCTGAAGAAAGTTTAGAAGTGGAGCATGTTGGTAATGAAGTGTGGAAAAAATTATACCGTAGATCATTTTTCCAAGAAGCAAAGACTGATGTCTTTGGTATCATTACAAGTTTCAAGATGCATGATCTATTTCATGATCTTGCACAGTTTATTATGGGTGAAGAATGTAAGGTTTCTGAACATACAAGTTTGACTGATTTGTCAAGTAGGGTTCACCATTTACACTTGTTAAAATCTAACGTGTCAGTCAACATTGCTGCCTTCAAGAAAATTGAATCCTTGAGGACTTTTCTTTATTTTGGTTCCGTAAATATTCGTCGGTTGCCATCAAACCATAGTCTCCGAGCATTATGGACAAGCTCTTTTCAATTGTCGCCACTGAAGGACTTAGCACATTTGAGGTACTTGAATCTGTGTGGGAGTTGGGTCACAAGCTTGCCTAATTCTATTTGTGGGTTGCAGCAATTGCAAACATTGAAAATGGAAGATTGTGAGTTCCTTTATTGGTTGCCCAAAGACTTGACAAGATTGCAATGTCTAAGACATCTTGTGATTAATAGCTGTTACGCAATAGTAGAGATGCCTCCCAAAATTGGCAAGTTAAGCCAATTAAATGCATTGAGCACTTTCATTGTGGGTTCAAAGCCAGGATATGGTTTGGCAGAGTTACATGGCTTAAATCTGGGAGGCAAGCTACATATCAGAGGCCTTGAGAATGTCCCAAGTGAAGGGGACGCTAAACAAGCAAATTTGATTAGTAAGAGGGAGCTGAATCGCTTATACTTGTCATGGGGTGGAAGTGCTAATTCAGATGGTACTAATGTTGATGCTGAGAAAGTACTAGAAGCCCTTGAACCTGCCTCAACTCTCAAGAGTTTTGGGATGAATGGATACCAGGGTATCCGGTTAGCCAGTTGGATGAGAAACCCTTCAGTTTTTAAAGACTTGGTGGACATCATACTCTACAACTGCATGAATTGTGAGGAGCTTCCTCCACTTGGTAAACTACCGTACTTAAAAAGACTATTCTTATCTGGAATGAAAAATGTGAAACACATAGATGGTGAGTCATATAATGGCGTGGAGGAGAAGGCATTTCCATCCTTGGAGAAATTCACTGCAAAGCGTTTACCAAATTTGGAGAGGATGTTGAGACATGAAGGAGTAGTGATGCTTCCTCGTCTTTCTGAACTATTCATTAATGGCATCCCCGAACTTAAATTGCCAAGCCTTCCATCTGTTGAGAAGCTTCGTGCTGAGTACATTGAGAACGAGGTTTCCTTCATGGAAGGGGTTGTGGGAAATGTGCCATGTCTCAAGTCCCTCACCATTATCTCCTTTGGGAAACTCAAGGCACTACCGGACCAACTTGGCAGGCTTGGTGCACTAGAGGAACTAGCCATTGAACAATGTGAGGAACTGGAGTCTTTCCCGGAACAAGTGTTGCAAGGTCTAACCTCTCTTCGAAGTTTGTCCATTTCCAAATGTAAGAAGTTAAAATCCTTGTCTGAAGGTGTGAGACATTTGGCTTGTCTTGAGGTTTTTAAAGTCGAAGACTGTCCAAAACTGGTGGATCTACCGAGCAATATGAACCAACTAAATGCCCTTAGGGAAGTATCAATAGAGTGCTCCATGCTACCAGAAGGCTTACAACATATCCCCTCTCTACAAAGATTGCTTATAGCAGGATGTAATTCATTGCCAGATTGGCTTGGAGACATGACTTCTCTTCGAGAATTGAAGATCCACCGATGCATAGAGTTGAGGTCACTACCAAGTAGCTTTCAACGCCTCACCAACTTGTGCAAATTGAGTGTTTACTATTGTCCTGAGGTGGAGAAGCGGTGCAAGAGGGAAATAGGGGAGGATTGGCAATACATAGCTCACATTCCACAACTGGAACTGCCCTCCTCAGATTCAGAGAAATTGAATTTCTCATTGTGCGGTAATTTTTTTACTGTTTTCTTTTCTCCTTAATGTGTCAAACTGACCAATGACCATGAAAATTTACGTGGCACTTAATGTTTGAAATGCATGCAGAGAGTGTCGGATTGGCATGGAACTTCTGCAAGTTTGGGATATTGTTTGCTATAAACGTAACGAAACATGATTTCTCTTCGGGAGATGAATTTGATCATATGGTTGATGTGTGAATCATGTTAGTCCATGTGGGCACAACTCCTGTCTGAATCATATCCATGACCATTGACCAACATTGGTGAGCATTTGCTCTGAAGTCTGAACCATGAAAAACAACAACAAAAGGAACCCATGAAACCTGTTCTCTGTTTCAATTTCTAACACTCCGTTAAACCAACTTCTGCCTTTTTCTTTTCCATGACATTTTACATTCCTTTTACACTTCACACTTCAATGTTGTTTATAGAATTTGCATCCTTCGTGGTATTTTCCTTGCGGTGATAGTTTTGCATTATATATGGACTTATGCATTTTGGCTTATTCTGATATAAAAAAATTATTCTCTATATAATAGTCAGAAATATTTGTTAATCATTGCAGGCTAAGGTGGGCATTGTTGGCGGTTGGCATGCATCGTGGCAGTAGAATAGAACCTCGTGGATCCAATTCCAAGATCGTGATTTTCCATTTCTGGCGTGATTCCCAACATGGCCTAATGTATTCAAGTGCACATGTTTGAAGAAACATTTTGCTGCTCAATGCACGGCCTAATGTTATTTATACTACTCACAAAATATTACATTATTTATGTTATTTAGTTTGAAATAAATAAAGAATTTAATATAAAAATAATATACCCAGTTTCCTTGGCCAAAAATTACAGACATGAAGTAAAAATAAAATGACAAAAAAAAAAAAACGCCCCTATTTTTATTCAAATAACAGTTCTTTAAATTTTATTTTAGTTCCTTTGTTTACCAAAAAAACGTTTTATTTTATATATAACAATTTAAGGTTCCTATTACTCATAGAGTCCCAGTTGGAGCCGGAATATGGCTGCTCTTGTCCTAAAATACTCTCCCACAATAAATTATGAATAGAATAAATTTGTCATTTAGCTGGTAAAATAAAAAATATTTTTAAAATAGCATTACCATCTTATAAGTTAGTTACAAGTAATAAAAATATGAATAGGTGAGAGAGAAAATCTAATAAGATAAGATAGAATACAAGATATATGGTATTGAAAATTGATGGTCAATTACAAACCTAACCTAGGCAACCAATCAACCACATATCTCACCACCAATTAAGTAGCCACTATCCTGACCGAACTTCATCCATTATTGAAGTTTCTGGTCCCAACTCCCAACCATTATGCACTTCACTCAAATTTGGTACACAAAAACTTGCTTAGTACGTTGAACAAACAAAATTCAAAAAAAAAAAATGATAAACTATTTTTGACTAGTATTGATTTGGGGAATAATTAATTAAAAATATTTTTTATAAATTTTAAAGTAATAATTATTAAATTTAACAAAATTATTATATATTATCATATTGTAATGGATATCATATTTTGAAGGTGAATTATAGGCAACGTAAATACTTTAAAAATCTATATGATGATTAGGTGTGAGGGGGAACATGATTATAGGTCATAGGTGCTGTATGATACAGTGATCATTTGATACATTGAAAATCAAAAGCCATAATTAGAGTTACATTACATGAGTGGGAAATTAAAGCATCACAATTGCCTTTGTATCATTTTCGTTAGACATTTCACCAAGCCATTGGTTGTCGTGTTGTCTCCCTCGAGACATTATTTGATAGACTATTGCTACTTTTCAAACGTGAATGTTGTGCGTCCAGGGTCAATAAATAACACTTCTTAGTTCTTAATTTTAATTTATTGGTTAAATTATATTTTCTTCATTTTATTTTAATTATTTAATAATTTATACAACTTTTTTTTTATATATATTTGTCTTTCTTCACCTCCTCATTTATTCTAAGTTCTCTTTCTTTTCCTTTTTACCTATTTTATTTGTGGAATTTATTATTCAACTTGTTGCACATGTATCACCTTTCTAAAATACCCACACACAAAAAATATATCATTTTCCTATTCAATTTAATTGTGTGTAAAAATTTGCTAGATCAGTCACAATAATGCAAGTAGCACGAATACAAATGAGATGACCAAAAAATTTAATCATTTTATTCTTAAAATATTTAATTCAGTTCTTTCATTTTTTCAAAAAATATATATTTAATGTTATTTTCATAATGATAACATTAAATATTTTTTAGAGATTAAAAGGTCAAATTAAATATTTTTAAAATATAAGAATCAAATTGGTACTAAAAGAATTATTATTTTCTTCTATCTAAAGAAATATAAATTTTATTTTATGTATTTAATATTCTTTTATCAGATAATTTCTTCTTCTTTCTTTTGTGGTATTTTTTTAATCCCAAACTTTCAGTTTATTGTCTATCATATAAAATTTCATTAGATGATTTTTCTTATTTTAATTTGTTTTTTTTTTCATGAACAATACGTGGCTTATATAGTATTTAAAAATTGATAATTAATTAATTAAAGAGATGCGTTCATGAGTCATAATTTTTACCGATCAAATATTATTTAATTTATTTAAACAATTGTTTATATAAAACTAGGTAAGAATTAATTAAATTAATCCAAAACTGATATAAAAAAAAGTATAGGCTTTCTAAAAAATTCATTTTATTTGTTATTTTTTAATTTAATTTAAATAATTTTAATATTATTTAAATACTAATATTTTAGTTTGTATATTGCATAAGTTAATTTTTTTTAATATAACTAATTTAGATAGACTATAAATAAATAATACTAAATTTATATATTAATTATATTATAATTAAATTTTCATAAAAAATGTGAACATATTAATTAAATTTTAAATTTATGATAAATAATTTATATTATATATATATATATATATAAGTCATGTTGGTATTATAGTGTCAAATTGATAAATAATTTTAAATTTGTGATTATTTAAGTGAATACGAAAAATAAGTTTATTTAAATTAATTTTTATAGTGAATAAATTAATAATTAATATTTATTAATTAAAAACAAAAGCGCATCTGCCCAGCCCGGAACTTCTACTTTAGTATACTTCTGAAGATAACTTTTTATCCTTCTTTACATCATCAAACCTTTGTTTCATCTATTACTGTATCAACATCCCAACATGGATTTTAAATGATGAAAAGGTTAAATTGTATTTTTTATCTCATTACTTTTATCAAATCATAATTTTAGTTTATCTATTTTAAAAATTATAAAAATTATTTATATATATTTTAAAGAATGATTTGTATTTATTTTATTAATAAATTTTATTTATGTAATTTTTAAAAAATTTATCTTCAAATATTGATAAACGTTAAAATTTAATAATTAATAAATATTAATTTAATAAAAAAATCAATATTTTTTATATTTTTAAAATTAAAAAATTAAATATCTATATTTTAAAATAAAAAAATCAAAATTACAATCGAATAAAATTACGATTTAAGTTAAATAAAACGAGACAGGAAACATTGACGAATAATTTTAGTACAAAATTCAGATGAATTTTAAGTGCAACCAAAGAAAGTGCTAATAAAATAGGAAGGAGGCAGAAATCATGCAAACTGTCAAGCCTTTTTCTTTTTATGGAATAGAAATTCATTTATTAAAAAAAAGTGAATTTGGAAATGTAGCATTTTTATGTTATGAATTTCAATCAAATACTTTTGAGTATTGTTTAATTTTTAAAAATTAAATATTTCATGATTTAAGTAATTTTTATTCTTGTGATGAGGGGTTAAAAAGAAATATTATCAAATTTTCACGAAAACATGAGAAAGTATTTTCTAATCTGATCTAAACTTAAAAATATTAATTTATAATAATAGATATTTTAAAATGTGGCATATTCTTTAAAAGTATGATGATAATAAAGAATGGGTAATTAAGAATTTTGAAAAAGGATGAATGTGACGTGGAATGAAAATAGGCGATGTGAGGGATGACGAGGCAAGGGAGAAGAGAAATTATAAATAGGGAAGTTAAGCTAAGAATATATTATAGAGTTGGAGTCGAGGACAAGAAAAGAGGGAAGCCAGAAGGCATAAATTAGGTGCGTGCGTGAGAGACACCCATTTTCTAATTCCTATATTTCTTGAGAGAGAGAGAGAGAAGAAAAACAAAGCGAGGGTTATCGTTTACGAACAACAAGAAGCTCTGGATTCCGCCTCTTCCCGTCCTTCGAGACGGTTGTTATGCTGCTTGCTCTTCAGGTCTCTCTTCCTTTTCAGATCCGATCCGATCCCCTTCGGATCCTTCCGCTTTATTCTCGCAATCCTTGTTGCTTTAATTTCGCCATCGTTTCTGCTTCTCCTTTTTTATTTTCACGATTTCTTCGGTTTTTTTCACGGTTCACAACCCAGGAGTTGAATTTGTTTATTTTTCTTTTAATTTTGGATGTTATAGGATCTTGCCTTGCTTGAATTTGGCTCTGGTGATGGATTTTATGGGTTTGTGATTATTTTTTGGTGCTTTGCTGTTGTTAGGGCTTTGGAGATAGGATTATTCTGTGCTGATCGAACTTGAATAATTTTCAGCTTCTGGCGTTTTGTGCTTTTGTTTTCATTGTCGTCGCTACCTATAGATGCTATTTTGCGGGTGTTCTGATTCGGTGATATTTTTATTTTTGGTAGTATTAATGCCTGGGAATTTGGGATTTATGCGATGATCAACTTGATCAATTTCTAGAGCTCCTTATAGGCTATCTTACGTGGAGGAATTTTAATTCTTGAATTTAGGTGGAGTTCTGAGATTGGTTTTTATATATATTTTTTTTATAGCTGGAAAACTTTCAATATTTGGACAGGATTTTCCAATTTTAGCTGTTAGGTGTGGGTATAAATATAATCGGTTTTATTTTTGTACTTTGAAACAGACTCGCAGCTTTACTTCTTGTTTTGTTGTGGAAATGGATTAAATCTTGGCCACTGAAAATAAATTATATGTATTAAATGATAAAAGAACCTGCCGTCGTTTTTCAACTGCACGAAACGAAACCTGCAGTTTTTTTCAATTGCAGGGAGTCTGGGACTCAGGGTCCGTTTTATTATAGCATCTGACACCACAAGCTGGCTGATTTCACATGTCATTACCGTTTTTCGTTGAGATTTTTGTTATTGATCATGCATGGGAGACAAATTTGAAATATGAATTTATTATCTATATAACCCTGAAGCTTTGTCCATGTTCCTGTTTTTTATAGGTTGGACTGGGTTTGAATCTAAAGGATTGTGATTTATATTTTGAGACATGGAGGGAGTTTGTTTCTGGACAAATTGCTACCAGTATCGGTTTTTTGCATTCCAAGAAGTGCTTGATTGGCGAGTTTTCATCCTTGGAGATTTTCATCGGGTTTCCTTTGTTAATTGCACTTAGTGTTCTGCTCCCCTTTAATGATCAGCGCAGGGTACGTGATGCTACTTTCTTCTGATACAGGTGCTGCATCTTTAGTGCACTTGTACAAGTAAGCGCTTATTCTTATTCTTTGCAAAACACCGATCCAAAAAGAAGTGTCTTGATAAGTGTTCCTTTGACAGTGCATTGCTGACCCAACATTCAGTTAAAACTTCCGGTAAATCCTTTTCTTGGGTAAGATTTCTATCTTGGAGAGCCTCTTTGACATCACCGTCTGTTTTCATTTTGCAAAAATTTAACTTGGCCTATGTTGGTTTCTACAGGGCTGAAGTCTATAGATTGGTGACTGAATATTGGATTCTGGCTGCATCTTTTGAGTGAGAAGCATTTGCATTGAATCAGTGCGGACTGTAGTTATTGAATTTGTCTCGTTGTTGCTCTTGATGGGTATATTTGCTGACAATACACCAGTTATCCAAAGTTTCTGAAAAAATCCTACATCGATTAGATGAAGTAGATCTTGATATGGTTATGAAGTCTTGGGTCACGGTTATTTTAGCTAGAGAGAAATGATATGGCTTTGATCAGCCATTTTAGTGGGACCTGAGAAGTGTCAGTATGATCTCTGGTTTTTGTTCATTTATACCACCTTTATCCTGCTACCATTTCAAAGCTGTGGGTCTATTAATGAATAAAGCTGTGCAGCCCGTCCGTCTGAAAGTTTCTGCTTCTATGCCCTCTTTTGCTATGACAGAAAATTGATGGTGGATTTTGCTGGACAAGCAGGAACCTGTTAATATTTTATAAACCTCTGAGCATCATCAGCTACACGAGATAAATGCCATTTATCTTTTGTGTTTTTGTTTATATTTGTTGAATAAAGAAAGCGCTGCTTTGTGTTCCACGGGAACAATGGAGAGGTGATTTCCTTTTCTTTTTGCGGAAGTTACTTTTTCCCTCTTGTTTACTTTTAATTGTTTTTAATACATTTCCCCCCAAATACAGGTACAAGTTAATTAAGGAAGTTGGTGATGGGACGTTTGGGAGTGTCTGGAGAGCTATTAATAAGCAAACTGGTGAAGTTGTAAGTATGCTTTAACTGACACGATGAAGGTGCTCTATTTGAAGTCGGATGTTGTCCTAATAAGTCATAAAATTGCAGGTTGCTATTAAGAAAATGAAGAAGAAATATTACTCTTGGGAGGAGTGTGTAAATCTGAGAGAAGTCAAGGTTTCGCATCTTTCTGATCTTTCTGAAGCGTTATTTCTCATTTACTGTTGGATTTTATGTATATAATTATTCTCTAATTTTCCTTGTCGGCAGTCATTACGAAAAATGAACCACCCAAATATTGTGAAGCTGAAGGAAGTTATTCGGGAAAGTGACATTTTGTACTTTGTTTTTGAGTACATGGTGGGTAACTAAAGTTCTTGGTAGAAATGGCGTTAGGTTGGCTGATGCTAGATCTAATATACTGATTTTAATGTAAATTTTTGGGTGATGTAGGAATGCAACCTATACCAACTTATGAAAGACAGGGAAAAACTGTTTTCTGAAGGTGAAATTAGAAATTGGTGTTTTCAAGTTTTCCAAGGTCTTGCTTACATGCACCAGCGTGGATACTTCCATCGTGACCTGAAGCCTGGTACTTATTTATTCATGATTTTATCAACAATCTGGTAGATTATGGTTTTTGATAAAATGGGAGAATTCATTTATATTGTAGCATGTAATGTATATTTTGTCAGCATTTGTTCTCTTATTACTAATTCCCTAGTTTTTATCTAGTTAATATGGTTATATTCATTTTGTAGTTTTGGCTTGCCAAATGCCTAATTAATTGAATAGAACTCCCTATTGCGAGACGTAATTAAAATAAACAAACATAGAGCATGGTCTACTGTGTGTATCTTTATTACTCTGTCATATAACGTTTCTGTTTTGACACAAGATATGCTGCTCTTTGCAGAAAACTTGTTGGTTACGAAGGATATAATCAAAATCGCTGATTTTGGCCTAGCCCGAGAAATCTGTTCACAACCACCCTACACTGAGTATGTCTCCACACGATGGTACGTGCTTCTTCAACTTGCAATAGATGTATCATGTTCTGTGTTTTAGGTTTCTAAGAACATGTATGATGGATGATCTTTTCTGTTTAGGTATCGTGCTCCTGAAGTGCTGCTTCAGTCTTATCTGTATACATCTAAAGTTGGTGAGTGTCTCATTGGGAATAATGGGGTCATTTATGTTCTTCACTGACGTTTTTGCAGTGATGATGTTGAGTACCATTTTATATATTAACATTTTTCCCTTTCTAGACATGTGGGCAATGGGTGCTATAATGGCTGAGCTTTTCTCTCTTCGTCCACTTTTCCCAGGTGTAAGGTATTAGCTTCACACTTGCTCCCCGTACCCCCCCCCCCCCCCTACTCGGA